TCTTGTCTCTTCGGCAGACAGTTATATATTCGTGCACCTCCTCCTCAAACCAAGTTGCTCAAAGACACATTCATAATAATTTACAAAATTACAATTTTTGAGAGCACAGACGGTTAATTACTTTCCTAGTTGAAATATAAAAAAGCCAGCTTAAAGATGGATATCGTAAGGTCACAAGGTCACTCAGAATAATATCACAGGAAGCTATTGATATGAGGTTTTCTTTATTATTTCATTTTGGGTTTGAAAAAAGACCAAAAACCAGGACTGGGGCTGATATGGATAACGAAACTTTTTCACCTCCAAAATTCACAGAAAAAAGGAAATAAGGTTGTTTTTTTTATGTATCCCTTATCCTTGTTTACGACACGTTAAAGAAAACAGGGTGTTTTATGCTTGAGGAAATGTCGCAGTAATGTGATTACGGAAATACTATCCGTATATCACTTCGTTTTAAAGTCACCTTAGCGGGAGACCAGGTGGGAATCATTTGAACTTGAGAAATTCACGTATAGCAAGCTGCTCATGACGTAGTAAATCTCTTTACTCTTTGCACTCTCAGGAGAGGGCAATAGGTGCAGAAAACATTTTCAGATTAAAAATTTGATTTATTCAAATATCAGCTGAAGTCGTTTCTGTTATTAAATTAATAAGATTAATAATTTGAATGATTTTCTTTTAGTCAGAACTCAACGTTTTATGTTACTGTTGTACGTTGTACTGTATTGTAAAGCGTTCAGAGCCTGTGTACTTTAACCGGGGTTGAGTGCTATATAAATGTCATTTATTATTATTTTTATCATTATTATTATTAAATAATTATCCCTGAAAGTGGTTTATCTTTCCATTCGTGGACCAGATGCAAAGGTTATACACAGCTAATTCAATTAATTACTTTTACTTTTCGTTACTTTATTTGACATAACCTATTATTATTGTTGTGCATGGAGCTCATCGTTGTTCTTGATTATCGAGAATCCGATCTGTGATGTTTGATGTCTTGAGACGCACATTAAACGGAATATAATAGTCTCGGTACCCTTGAATAGACAGTGACGAGGAGGGGTGGGGGCCAGTCTATATATCAATGTAATATCTAGGCATGGCAATATTTACCCGTTTTTGCAAAACTAGTAAATTCAACTAGACTGACTGAGTGGGATACCACAACACAGAGACAGACACTCGATAAAATAACTTCCTCGCTCGGAATTCGAACTCAATTGTGAGGCAGCGTGGTGGAATCAGGCTCTCATCAATTTTTGGGCATGTAGGGTTATTGGTACCATTATAAAGCTTGTTCACTTGTCTTTATTTGGATGAAAAAAATATCCATTTATCTTGAATACAAGTTGAGATATTTGCGAATGAAGGAGGTGGGGGTCACCTGTTTTCAGAGGTAAAATTAGTAAGAAAATGTCCACCAAAGATAAGTTATTTCCTTAGCTTTAGAGTCCGAGGTAACTGAAAATTTACATTTTTTGTACCTTTAATCAACGTTTTTCAGAAGTGATTTCTCAAATGGGCATGAAAGGTGTTGAGTCAAAAAGCAAAAGTTTCATGAAAATGTACAAACCTGTGGAAAAATGCAGGTTTCTTCACTTTGATTATTTTGACCAGAGCTTGATTCCACCACGCTGCCTCACATTTTTTCTGTGCTTACGGTTTTAGGGAGGGACTAGTGCTGGAGGTAGCCGTTGCACTGGATCTCAGCGCGGTTTTACCATATTTCGTCGCGTTCATACCTTCGCGCCTCGATTTTTACACGTTGGATTTTCTTTGAAGCTCACTTCAAAGGGTATCAAACTCAATTTTTTTCATACGGAAAGGTGAAACATTCAATACCACGCTGACACTCATCCATTGTTCATCCATTGTTTGTTTCAACAAAGGATGCTGCCCCAACGCGTTGAGATCGACTAACATACTTCGAACAAATAAATGTGCTGACTCGCTGAGGACGAGTGTTCCAGTGATTGCCAAACATATCTGTGCTCCCTGTCCTTAGAAACACGAAGAGGGACGGAGTGCGCGCACACACATGGCTTGTGAACTTTTTTAGACTGTGTGATCCCTCTGTGTCCCTCTCTCAGCCCGTGCTGGCCTGGGAGGCAGTGTCAAAGCGTGCCTCCTGAATGATCTAAATTGTGTCGATGGAAGTATAAAACACCTGCACTAAAAACATTAATCCCTCTGCTTTTCCAGGGTTTTTTTTTCGTTTTTGTTAAGTGTTTTACGGCGCTCGCAACTGCATAAGGTCATATGAGCGGGCGGGACACACCTTATATTTTCAGTTGGTAGGAAATTTTGAATTTAGCCCGGGTGGCGGCCGAAGCCTACTCTTGTCGATTTTAGACCACCAAGGGATCTTTAACGTGCGCATCTTGCACAAGGGCCCTCCGAGATTTTTCGCCACAGTCCGAGAAGGCTAGGTGTAGATCTTTCCTACCAGAAGATCAGAGGTGTGGCAGAAAGACAGCAATAAGGAGGAGCCAAGGAG